TGCTTTGTCAGATTATTCTATTCTATTGGCAGCCGAGAGAAGTGTCTTATAGAGACTTACTAAGGGAAATGCAAAAGGATGTTTAAAAATTGGTAGAGAAATCCTAAACTTGAAATATATCTCAGCTTCACTAGTGGGCCCTCTTTAATGAAAGCTCTCATGGAATTTTATGAAGTGGGGTGATTTGGAGGCAGACAAGAGCAGTGCTGATCTGGCATGTACAACGTCAACTATTCCACACTGTTGAGGACAAACACATGTAAGAACTCCCATTTAATGTCCTACTTCATGTAGGAGGCTGCTTTGTGCTTCTCACACCATAACAGTTTTCCAAATAATCTGTCTCCTCCAAATTCGTCATCACCTCAGAAGAAAAGGATTACTTGCTCTTTGCTGTGATAGGTAAAGGAGGCCATGTTCTGGAAAACACAATGGAACGACTGCAATCATACTCTTCCCATTTTTTTGAAGGGGAGGAGCTTTTGGAGGAAGGTGTTGGGTTTTGGTTTTATCTGGTAAATAAGAGTTTTAGAGCTGTACTTTTAGACAGATCACAGACCTGAAGGATAATCAATGGGATGTGGTATGATAAATACCGAGAAAAACGCTAATATGTTTTATACTTCATGTGCTATGTGATTATTTCACTGCCTCTTGAAGCCACTTTTCTTTACAGCATTTTTGTCCTTTTCTACTTAAAAGTGTTTCCCATATTTGTTTAAGACACTGAAGGAGATTTCCATGCAAAAGCAGAATAGGAAATACTTTACCCTTGTTTTCCCCTGCTTATAAGCATAACATCTCAAATAACTTTTTGAAGGACTTTGACACCATTAATTTTGTTTTAAAGTGAAAAAATAAAGGACTAGATTGAGGGCAGCTTTCCAGGTTTTATTCCTAGATCTATGGCTTGCTTAAATTTCCCTGGGTCTGTGTTCAGCCAGCATTTTCTTCCATGGTACTGTAATCCCCCCCACACTTTCACTGGCCCACTGAAGCAGCCCACTCGCACTGTCCTCTCCTTACAGCAGTTCAGGAAAGTGAACTAGAGCCAGGCAATGATCAGGGCCAGAAATAATCTGATAAATAAGTTGCCTTTACTACTGAACAGGTCATCCTAATCTATCTGATCCATGGCATCATGTAGCCAAGCCGATGCTTGTGTCAGGACAACAGAAAGGTGGCTTGTGAAGAGGAGCAAGATGGGACTACTTGCTTCAGCAGGAAGCCTAGCTAATGGGGTTTAGAGTTATGGCTTCACTTCTGGGGTGATCTGCTTTCCATGGTACTAAATCAGTATGGGACAAGACACACAAAATGGAAATGGCAGATGTTTTTTGCAGTAAACGATTTATGGAAAGAAATAAAAAATGTCCATTTCACAAGTTTCTGTATCTTTTCCCCAGATATGCCTCTGCCAAGACTAATGCTCTCAAATATTTCAAGACTGAGGGATTTTTGGTGTGGTATAAGTTAGCTACCAGGAAGGACAGAAAACCCAGAAGAGTGACTCCATGAATTTAGTATCTTTTTTTTTTCATAGGTGATATGTTTCAAGACATTTTTTTAAGACTCATAACTATTGCAACACTGGTGTATAATTTCCCTAAGCTTCACTATGCCAATTTATCCCTTATCAAAATAATTCAGTCCTCAGAGTCACTGCTGCACAAAAGTATCAGGGACGAACAGTTTGTCACCTCCATGTGGCAACAAAATGACCCATTTGTGGCTCCCTTCCCAAGAAGGAAAAAAGCCCTTTTTGCCCTCTTTACTAACTGTAACTAAAGAAGACTAGACTTGTGAATACAGTAAGTCAACACAAAGCTGGAAACACATAAAACCATTTCCTATTGCAGCTGCTGCTTTTTAAAGGGGATATCCTTAAGAGACCGTCTGTCTGAAGCGTTAACATGAATGCTTCAATGAGTCACAAGGAAAGGCCATTTTACAGGAAAAGTGTCCTCTGCAGCAACAGTACATTAGTGAAGCCTATTCCATGAACTGTGCTGAACCAAAAGCCAGAATACTGGTAAACATGCACAAAAAAAACATGCAAGACTTTTACTGGAAGCACATGAAAGAAGGACACGATATACCCGACATTTATTCCCTCCCCCTAATTAACTCCTAATACAGCTTCCACACTGTAAGCATACTGATCTGTATCTGTCAAATAGCACCCAGACATCAAAACCTTTTCACTCCTACTGAGCCCTTGCAGGCAGTGATCAAGGGAAGATCAGGACAGGTAATGCACTCCGAAGAAAATGCTGTCCCTCTGACACTCTGTGCTCAGTGCATCCGTGAGCAAAAGTGTTTAAAGATAAGATTTACTTTTCCACCTGATACATATGTGCCATTAATATCCCTACTTAAAAAAGTAAAAAATATGTTCATCATTTACGCATGTTGTATGTGGGTCTGGTACATTTTTATCACATATACAGCAGGGTACCTGTCTACCCTCTTGATCTCACAGGCAGCTACTGACTTTGCTTCATAGCTTCCAGATAGTTAAGGGTCATATTCTGATTCCATCTTAACTAGACGGATTAATATGGCCATAATGGCACTATTAGAGCAAAAGAAGAATAATTGCACGTGTGTACATAAAAACATCATTCTTCCTTTAATGACTAATACAAGTATTAGCAACAAGTTGTCGGGATTTTATTTATTCACTGAATACAAAAATACTTGCACACTGGGAGCAGTTGCTGACTAATCTCTGAAGGCCGTTTTGGCTGCCAGGTGGCTGGAGGCATATTGTGCTACCACAAAATATGCTTTAGCTTAGAAAGACTAAAAAGTCACAGTCCCCAAGGCAACGGAGGTTAAAGAAGGTGTCCCCCACTGGAGCGAGAAATGCAGGCCAATGAAGTGAAATACAAATCTTTCCAGCTGTGATTCCTAATAATGCATGTGTAAAAGTAACAGGGGAAAAAAAAAAAGAGACAGTAACAGAGGAAAAAAAATGAAAGGGCAGCTGAGGGGCATGATTTTTTGTGGTGGCACAAAGAGGAGGATGAGAGATCTTCCTTGGGGATCTGCATCCTTCTGGCTTGCAAGAGCTCTTACACGGGACTAAATCTGTGGTAGAAGGTGGTGTCATCTCAAGTACTGCTTCCTTTCTCATGAGCTTCCATCAGGCTTTGCATCAAGATAAGCAGCACGTCTGTTTATGGAGAGAGGATATAGAGGACCAGGTGCAGCAGAAGGGATATGGGGTGCAGGAGACCACCAGAACTCATGTATGGGCTGCCCAGCCCAAGCTCGAGGGGCAGCATGAACTCCAGCTGAGGCGCTGGGTCTGAGCAGCAAACGGCGACGGGTGTTGCCCCGAACGCGCTGCCGGCACAGCTGCGCAGGTGAGCCCTTTCTCAACTTTCTTGTAGTTCAAAAACAAACATGCAGCCACTCGCGCCTTCCTCTCCGGAGCGGGCAGGAAGGGGAAGCAGACAGCCGCCATGGTAACAGCCAGCTGACGGCAACCTGGGAAGGGCAACCATCGGCCACCGCGTTCCCAGGCCCCCGGCCTTCTCCTCCTGCCCCTCCCCCGGGGGGGGGGGTGGACGACGCTGGTTTATTTTCCACAAATGCCGTAAATAGGGGTCCTGCATTTCCACAGAGCCGCACCTGATACCGCTTTCTACCTGTGGTACGAGGTCCGGGGGGATTCGCCCCTATGCTCTGGGGGTGGGAGGGGTGAGGGTGCTGGAAGAGATGCCCAGGAGAGGACACCTCACACCCCCCAGCGACGGCCGGCAGTAGCGAGGGCGGGCGGGTTGGTTGACTCAGCCTGCATGTGATGGGGCAGAGCTGTTCCACAGCCCACCGCCTCCGTCCCTGCCCTGCGCGGGCCGAGGGACCCACTGACCTGTGTTTGGCATCCGTTTCCTCGCCAGCAGAAGGGAGGTGCTCCCAAAACCGTTCAGTGCTGCGGAGACCCCCCCTAGTGATTAAAGTCTGCCTCGGGGTTTGGTTAAAATAACACTTTAAAAGTTTTTACAGGAAAAATATCCTGACGCGGGGGGGGGCTGGGAAGGAAGGGGGCGCGGGGCCGCCCGGCTGCGCGGGGAGGCGGCGGGAGGGCAGGTGCAGGGCTGGAGCCTGCGGGCAGCGCAGCCTCTCGTCAGCAGCGGCGATGACTCAGAGGCTAAATTTAGCCAGCGATATAAACACAGCCGCCGAGCGCAAACACGGCCCGGCCGAGCCCTCGCACGCACCGCCCGCTCCTCCTCGCTCCCCTCGGTGGGGCTGCAGCCCGGGGCCAGCACCCCCTCAGGTCTGCCCTGCACCAGGGCAAACCTAACTGGGGTTAACAGGAGTTGCCTCACGACTTTTATTTCTTGATCACTATTTTTTCTGCTGTGGTCCGGTCCTTTGGAATTGGCAAGGGTAGCTACCGAGGAGAAACAAACAAACAAACAAACAAAAAGAAAAACGGAGACTATAAAAGGCTGGCGGGACATTCCTCCTCAATGGCTTGAAACAAAGGAGGACTCTGCACTCGGGCACTTGCTTTCCTGCCTTTCCACCATAAAATTTAATTGAGTAAAATACAAACACACACTCCTCACCATAAATAATCAGTCCAAACATCTCATCATCCCCCTCGGAGTTGGCACTATCTTAATAAGATCAACCAACCTAAGCAGAGGACTGGAGGCAGAACAACTGGGTTCCAATGAGCAATCTTTACACGATCTCAATCAAGTTTTAACCTGCATTTTCTAGTCTCCCAGACTAAAAAAGAACTGGGGTATTACTGCAATTATTTCTTAATTGAAAAATAATTTCTCAGCTGTCACACTGCTACAAGTGCAAAGCACGTTCCCACTGTCACAGCCGGCACAGTGCTCTGAGAGCTGAGGAAATGCAAAAGCACCTGTGGAGACTACAGGGGTTGTACTGGAGAAACAACAGCACTGAACACTAACACCACTGCACTGATGTTAGAAATACTGCAAAACAATTCACTTGTGCTGTCCCGGAGGACTATTTTGTGCTCTTTATTGTGGGCAATCTTGGTCTTTTGAGGTTGTGGCCTCACTGCCTGAAGACAGCGCAGTTCTGTGTCTGGCAGGGTGAAGGATTCACAGTGTACCATTGCACAGAGCTTGCAGGGCTCTCCTGCCGCCACCCAGCTCCCTTATCCTCTGCCCACTTCCTCTACCAGAGCTAGGCAGGAAGTTTTGCTTTTTAACATTATCCCTTATTTTAAGCAGGAACAAACCCATAATATATTTAAATCTCTTGTCAGCTGAAAGCATAGAGAAGAAGGCTAGATTAGGCTGATGCAAAAGTTTTGTGGTTTTTATTTAACTGATACACAGTGGTTGTATGTGACTTGCATCAAGAGTTTGCATAGCCCAGCCTCCAACAGCAGCATTACAAGGCTGCCTGAAGAAAAGCTGAGGGCAAGTACACGCAATAGCTCCCCCTAATACTCTTTCAGCATCTAACTAGTTTGAGCTTAGGACTTCCCGAGTTAGATCTGGTTTCTGTTTATTTAATGTCTGCTTCAATGGCCATAAACTTGTCTCGATTCCCCTTGAACCCAGATAAAGCACTGGGATGCACAATATGCCTTGACAAGGAGCTCCACAGAGCTACCTGTTGCATGAAAAAAAAAAAAAATACCTCATTTACTTTGAACTGGCTCCTACTAGCTTGACTTTATTTTGCCTAGTTCTTGTACTGGGAGAAGTTGGTCTATCCATCTCCTTCACATCACTTTTGATTTCTGTTTAATGTTGCTTCCCTCTTGCTTTGTGTCTTTTTTTAGGCTTAGCAGTCCTAGCCCATTTTTTCATATGGAAGTTTCATCATTCTTCTTGCCTTTCTCTGAACCTTTTCAGAGATGCAGTTCTGCCACATCATTTTTGGAAGAAGAAAACGAGAATTGTGTGTAACATTCAAGATATAGGAGAAACATAAATTTATACAGTGGCATAACTATGTACATTTCTCAGTTTCTTAACATACCAAAGAACACGATTTCAGATCAGATGTGAAAGGGTCCAGCAAGTTTCTGTTAACCTAAATGTCAAGTAATCAGCTCCACAGGCAGCAGGATTTCAGAACGGGTGCTAGGTAAGGGGCAATAGGTTGTTGTATCATTTGTATGCATAGGGGAAGGTGCACTTCCAAGCCCACCTCTTCCTTCATTGTTATTGGTCAAAATGAAAAGAAAAAAAAAGAAAAAAAGAATGAAAATTTAACAACATTAAGAAAAAAAAAAAAATCTGTCTCCACTTCCTCATATCAAGTTTCTGACACCACTGACCATAAGAATTCCTCTTCCCCCTATGGCAACCTCCTTTCCTCAAGCCTAGGATTCCAGTTCTATAGCCCGCAAGAATTTTGGTTTACATCTCAGTCTTCCCAACCTCACACTCACTCTACCCCCTGCCCTCTAAACCAGGCTCACTCACTTCAGGAGTTCCCTCCTTCACCATGCTCCTGCATCCTCAGCTGGAGATTCAAGTCCTGCACTGAGGGCAAGGTGCAGAAAGCGGAGCTGAAGAGGTGACCCACTGCTGTGCACAGCAGCAGCAGGGACCAGCAAGCACTAGCCAGCTGGGAAGATCCTGAAACGTGCTGACCTGCTAGGGAAACAAAAGAATGAAAACACTTACCCAAGTCTCAAAGAGACTGCAGGTACAAGTAAAGTACGGAGCTGCCGGTGCTACAGTCTCAGCTGCAGGACCGTCTGAGTCTCTGTATTACATTAATAGGAAACTTTTCGGAAGATTTTTCCTAAAACATAAAGTCACCATAAAGAACAGTTTCCTGCAAAGATTTCCAGTGTAAAAAAAGCAACTGTTAAAAATTCCCTGGTTGTCCTTTAATAAACAATGAAGAAAAGCCTGATGAAGTTTGGGATAAATGATGCGCATGTTACACCGTGCGCCCACTCTCTCATGCCAATGACTTTCCGAAAAGAGACACAGGCTCCCTGTTGCATAAGCACAAGTGTCTCAGAGGAGACCTTGATAAGTCTCATAAGAGACAGAGAGAAAATGACATTTTCATTGTCATTAGCTTGAGGCAAACAGGTACATGCCTAGTTGTCTGCCCACAGCCAGTATGGATGCCAGCATTTGTGTTCCACAGGCTGCTCAAGCCTGTTGCAGTGATGGTAAGAATTATTTGCTGAACCAACTGGGGAATTCAGAGAAACAAAGTTTTCTATAGCTAGATCCACAGAGGCTTTTTGAGCATGGTCAGCATATCCAAATCAACTGCAGGATTCCTGATGTGTTGGAAAGGGGCTTTGTTGTTGTTTGTAATGCACTTATTTACTCAAGAAAGCTCAGCTCTGATTCAGCATCTGGTTCTCATTGAGGCTCAGCTTTTTTTAAACCGAGCTTTCCAGATGGGTTGACTGAAGCACAAGGAGGTCAAGAGACTTGTCTGAGGTCATACAGCAAGTCAGTGGCTCTGCTTGGACCTGAGCCCAGAACTGTTCAAGGCTACCACTCCTTGGCTCTTAAAGAGACAATTTTATCCCCTGTGAAGTGATCTTATCTCCATGAAGAAGAGATGCAATAAAAGCAGTCCCCTCAAAGTTGCAGCCTGCTTAAAAAGAGTTATTTTATTTGGAAAAAAGCTGTAGCATTCCAGTGTCTCAATGGAGCAAGTCAAACTGAAGGGGTGTGATACTGATATACAGTGTCATCCACCCCACCCTGTATAACCTTGTTCTCCTCTGAGGTGGCTTTATGCTGCTGCTGCTGCCACTGTCCCTGATTGTCTTACTCACATCCCAGCTAGCTGCATATCATGTTATGAAATACACTGTTGGTTCAGCACAGATTGAATCCCCTCCTCAAGGCAAGAAAACTTAAGTTCACTCAGGACCCGCTCAGGACCTGAAGCAAAGCCCAAGCACTTGTTGCCACAGCCTGGGCATGTGGGGTGTGGGCAGCACATCTCAGATAACCAAACAGCAGATCCCCTAAGCTCAGCTCTGTTCTCCATAATCTCAGAGTGCAGTCTTTAAGCTCAGCCACAGATTGAGCTACAGCAAGCAGTTCATAGGCAAAGGCACACTTGCTCCAAACCAAGAAGGAGGTGGGAGGTCCTGGGTTCTCCTGAAGAAAACACATTTTGGCTCTAGCTTTGTTTTCCAGGGGCAGGGTGAAAAAAGTACAACGGGGGAACTTTGCCAGAAGCAACACAGCTTCAATCAGGTAAGAGGTAGTAAAGAACTCAAGAAAACAAAGATGAGTTTCACATGTCATTCTGCAAACTGCATCAAGCTGTAACAGGCTCTGCTACTTAGGAACACAGAGGGTTGCTCAAGCCACTCTTACAATAGATTCAGCATCTTAAGGAGATAAAAGCTGCAGAGTTCTAGGGAATGTTGTGTTATTGCTCTAGCACTGTTCTGAAGATGAAAAAGTCAGGTTTTAAACTACTTTTTTCTGTTTAACATATTAATAGGAAATGAAACCCTGAAAATGGTGTACGTGCCAAAAGCAAGCATAGGTGCAGCCAAACTTTCTTATTCTTACAAGATGCATACCCAAGAATCTTTTGTATAGCCAAGAACCACAGAATAAATACCGTTTAGCTCCAGAAGCCCAGAGAAGAGATAACAGCGACTCTCCAGGGTTCCCAGTGTGGGATGGGTTAGACCATGCGTGCAGCTGAGTCCAATGACAACTCAGTGACGTCAACCTAAGCAGCTATTGCCTGCTCAGTTTCTCTCTCAGCCAGAGATGTACATTAACCAGCAAGTTTTGTGTCAACACAGACTTGCTGCTGCAGCAGGAGAATGGGGGCCGTACCTGAACTGCTGGAGAGTCTCACAGAACTCAAGTGCCATGAGAGGGCAACTCTTGAGCTAACTGGATGCACTATTCCAATGCTAAGTCTTTCCTAACTCCCACTGAAAGGGCACACACATTTTCTTTTCCCAGGTTCACAGATGTTTCGTAGGCTCCAAAAAGAGGCACAGCTTGTTGAAAACCAGGCTTGCTCTCTCTCAGAACTTCACAAGACCACACTGATGTGACTAACTTTGTGGCATTTTAAATCTGATTCAAGACACCACTCTGGAAAGTTGGTTTTGACCAAATGTTTGAGACAAGCTGGAACGGGGCATCCAAATCAGGGATTAGTTTCACAGCAAGATAAACGACAGCCCAGTTTTTCATGTCTCAGAGGCTGCCCCTTCCAAACCACAGCACATTGTGAACCAGTTCATGTGTCTCCAGGGGCAGACCGCTTGCTTCTTCAGCAACGAGCTAGGAAAAGTCATTGCACATAGGACAGAGGGGCTTCTGCACAGGGGATCTCTGCCAAAAGCCAAAGGAAATCCTCCATGCAGGGCTGGGAGGGAAGGGATTGGGCACGACAACAAAACACTCCACAGGGAACAGTGCCTTGGACACCAATATGTGGCTCCATACTCAGTTTTCCTGACAAACAAGAAAGAATCCCTTTACAGATCCAAATGCCAAGGCCTATCCCAGGGTCAGGTTGTGGATAACCACTGGCTGAACTACTCTGTCCTCAAGTTAAGTTTTCGGGTTGTTTTGTTTTGTTTTCCTTATGTTTTGTTTTCAAATTCAAATGGCCGGAGGCCCTCGCTCCCGTCCCCTTTACAACTTGTTGCTCTTCCAGTTCAAACAAAGAGCGAAGCCCCTCCTCTGCCGGCCCCGGGGGCCGGGCCGCCCAGCGCAGCCGGACGCCTTTGTTTACTACGGCTCCCACACGCCGGGCTGGCCGCCCGCCCTGGCAGCGCGGCCGGGCGGGCACCGGCAGCTCCGGGCAGCAAAGAGCCCGACCTTGGGCAGCCTCAGTGGGGCCGGTTTGGGTGGGCGCTCCTGGACGCGTTTCCAAGGCACAAGCATCAGATATGGACACTCCCCCGCCATGAAAGGGGTCAAGTTACAACCAGTTCCACCAGTTCAGCGCAGGGCTCCTCGGGCGAGATGGTTAAACCTTTGCTTTCCTGTGAGAGCCTGGCGAGGGAGTGGGGTCTGCAGCTATCGCTGGCAAAAGGCGCCACCGGGGGAAAACCCCATTCAACCACAAACAACACGTGTTAAAAATCTCGTGGTAATTCGTTATTCCTGCAGCTTGCTAAATGACATTCATAGCCCCATCTACGTTTCTAGAGAGTAATCTTCCTTTTACAGTTTCTTCAATTCCCTTATCTCTCAGATGACATAGAGAGGATCAAAACTCTCTCAGCCACAAGCCACATTCTCTGGCCAGGACAGAGATCTTACCTTTGAGAAGGCCTGCAGCAGATCCCACAGCAGCAACTCACTTGGAGTGAGATAAACTTTCTGTCCCCCTCTGAAGTCAGCAAAATGTATTGAATACAAGCAGATACACACTCTCCTTGTTGGGCTTGCATAGAAGTGGCAAACTGCTGCCTACTGCCAAACCTCTGCAACCTCTGACCAGCTCTGCATGGGCTGAGATTTCCATTTCACCTCTACTCAACAGGGGAAGGAGGGCAAGGAAGAAAGAATCAGGGATTTTGGGGGTGATGGTTACTTTGTTTCTTTGAATAGCAAGGTTTCTTTTTTTCTTTAATTTTTCTTTTTAGGAAACAAAATCAAGAACCTGGAGTGCGGTTTTCAGACCTGATGGCACCTTACAGCTGTCTTTTGTTGTGAGGAAGTTACTCACAAGTCTGAGATGCTAGCTAGGACTGTCTGACAGAGGAGCTGCTAGCAAGTCTAGCACAATATAAATATACTTTACAGCATTACACAGAACTACTCTCAGACAACAAGGAGTGTCAGAACAGACTCCAGGCTTCTTGTTGTCTCCAAGATGAGGAGCTGACATAAGCCACAGATGGCCACTTGTTCCACAGAAGAGATGTTGGTAGTGATGAAAGTGGAGAAGAAGAGTAAAAGCTGTAATAAAAAAGGGAGAGATCCCTTGGAAAAGCCTCATAAACCCCACTGCTGGTGAACTGAAAAAGCTGGAATAGCAGCAGCTAACACAGAATAGCTACCTTCCCAGGCAGAAAATGGAATCCCACACATTCTATTCCCTCCACCTGCCAATCTTTAGGAAGAGCCAGCAATCTGTCATATGCAAAAATCTATCAGGATACTCCTGCCATTTTATTGCTGTTGGCAGTCTGCTACCTTGAAGTACAGCCCACTCATCTGATGCCTGGAGCCAGTCTTCTAGAGTACCACTCTTGGATAGGTAAACCCCCACCTTCCCCTCCAGAGACACCCTACCCTCTGTATGTGGAGCCGGTGGAACTGGTCGGCAATGCACTGCAACTTCCGTGCAATCTGCACCTCAGCACGTGCTTCCTGCTGACCTTCCTGAGGTTCCTCTTGGAGGTGTGGATCCAACCCAAAGCCAGCTGGAGGGACATGTAAACGGTAACCAGCATTCCCTACAAAACAGAGATCAGAAGAGTCATTCGTCCAGTGCAAAGATTACCTTTTCTACTCAGCACACTTCATGTAGGAAAGACCTGCACATAATCCTAAATTTTTGACTCATGTTAAAGTCCAGTTCCTGAAGGCCAAACAATGACTGTGTACCATAATCATGCAGTAAAACATTTGCTCAGCTTTTAAATAGACTTATATTGATTAAGCAGAGTTGCTTAATCGATATAATGTTGGTTCCCATAGTGAAATGAGTGGCAAGATCTTACACTTGGTTCTTTTTGCTTGTTTATAGTTCAGCCAAGTCCTGTGGTTTGTTTTTTTTTGATGACAGTTTTGCAGTTTTAGAAGACCTCCGCCTCAAGTTGTCTCCTCTTAGAGGTTGCAATATCTTTTTTGCCAGACTTTTCTCAGTTTTCTCGCATTTAGTGGTACCGATTTGAATTAAAGCTGAATTCGATACACAAAGCTGAGTGGTGTCGCATCAGTTGCTAGTAAAATACTGTATGGACATGCTATTTATTCGACAACTTTAACTCTGGTAAAGAGCCTAAACGCTCTAACTTTTTGCATTTCCCTCTTTCCACTGAAAACTTCTAGGAGTCTTCCTATACATATGAGACCAGTAGTAGTTAAAAAATGTAGGCAAATTGCAGGATACAAGGTACAGTGAGCACTTAAACATCTAGCAGTAATATAAAATGTGATAGAATAAAGTCAAAAAGAGAAAGAGTGGGAACATCAAAGACAGCAGAAGCAATGAGCAAGTGCCTGGTTCCTGCAGTGGACAAGCAAGGGTAAGAAAATAAGTTGTCTTTCTTGAGGGAGTAGGACCAAAGCAAAATAATTTCAGTCCTTTAATAACATGCCCTAATGAAAGAAACCTTGCTTGATTGGGGAAGTGCTAAAGGGACAGTTTCCTTGCTGCAAAGCTAGTGACACTGGAGTGCTCTTACCATAGAAGAGTCTCCGTGGCTCTTCAGTGACTCCACAAGGCAACATAACATCCTGACTGGAAGAGGACGGGCTGAGTGTTTGAGTTGCCTTGTCCTGCTGCTCAGGATGCCTGATACCGGGACCACAGCAGTGTGTGAGGGGGAATAGTTGAAACCTCCCCAGAAGGCAGCTGTAGGACTGGTTCTGTGTGAAAAAGCCAGTTGCAGTCATCTCACCAGGCTGACCTGCAAGTCCAAAGTCATCAGAGTGAAACACGTCATCGTCCAGCCCATCCAGGCTAGAATAGTCCTCTTCCAGGTAGCTGGGGCGATCCATTGCTCCTGCAATAAAGGGACATTTGAGGAAACAGCTAAGACTCAACAAGAATGTTGTCCAGGAGATAATGCCTTCTGCTCCAACAATAAAACACAACTATTTTTACCACACCTCCCTTCCAGTGCTGCCCATCTGCAGGGGCAGGAGAGGCGAGTGACTTTGTGGTGAAAGCCAGATGTCCTCAAGTGCTGGGCCAGAGAGAGACAAAGTTCACACATGTAACAGTCCACTGACAGCTCTAATTCTTCAACTGCTCACAAGTAGGTAGCCAACCCCCAACCTTTAAGCACATGGAAACTGAAAAGACATTGTTTTAAAAAGCAACCCCAGTCCTTCCAAAAGGCCTGTGGCCAGTCAGCTTCTTTAGTGTCTGCTTTGCTTTGGCCTGCTGTGTTTGAACTTTATGGTATATACCCCATTCACTTTTTCCCACCTGTTGGTTGTTGAAGAAGAAAAGCTCTTGTAATCACAAGGCTGTAAGGCCAGATTTTTAACAAGCCCCAGTGGTTGCAAAACTCAAGAGCTGGCAAGGCCATTTCTGTGAAGCTCTCCATTACTTCTCCCTGTAAGAGCCAACTTTCCTTTCAACTTCTCATTTCTTCCCTCAGCTCCACTTAAGACATGTCTCAAACTTGGCAATGCAGTCACTTCATTACCCCTCTTACCCTCAAGCCTATGTGCACTGTCACTGCAGTGGTTCGCCCTACTACTAAAGAAAACCATTGCTAGTGTCAGTGTTAAAAGCAGGACTTCTGTAGTTGCCCCAGTAAACACTCCTAAGCTCTGTTACAGTACAAAGCTGGACAAATATGGTGGAGGGGGAAAACCCCATAAGCCCTAAATCACTATTTAAGAGTTCTTTGCAAACATAAAGCAAGTAGAAGCAGAATTACCAAAAATGCCACAAGTCCCTTTACTGTTACCTGTGCATCTAACCCAATTGGAAGACAGACTCCTAAGAGATCCATCTCCAGGATTTCCACCCAGTTCCAAACAAGGCAGTGAAATTCAACTCTTCATGTCTCTTCCTTTGCTCTGGTTTGCGAAGCATTTAACAGAATGGAAGACTAGCAAGAGGAATTTCAGGCCTGAAGGAGACATTAATAATAATTTTATAAGGATGTGTTCAGTGCTGCCCTTGGTGCTCCCATCTCCCCCCAGGTGAGCAGCACTCAGGACACCAGTACTCTAGAGGAGACAAAGGGACTGAGCAGTGCAAGAACTATTTGTGTAGGGCTCTAACTTGGAGGCACTATGGTTGCTGCATCTCAGCAGTTTGCTCAGCTGAGCGACAACTCCCAAAAAAGTGTCTTCAGAGGAGAACAAGTACCAGCCCCACAGCTGGTCCAGCTCTGCTGGATGACAGCAGTGGCACAGCGCTCATAGCGTTCTCATCCATGGCTTAAAGAAGTACACTGAAAGGAGTTACGGGCCCCAAGAGTCATAGATTATCATCTGTCAGCCCCGCTGGGATACGGGCATTCCTCAAAGAAAATGCACAGAGCAAACACTGCACAAAAGAGAGTTTAGAGAGCAAGAAGTTTTAACTCGACCTCATGCAATACAGTCCGACCTTTTTTAAAGAGCTCCTCGGAAATGCCGAAGAGAGAATGCCGAGGCAGCGTGAAGGATAGCTCACCCTACGACTCACGGAAACTCCTTGCACCCTGTCCAAACGCAGCTCACGCCGGGAGCCGCAGACACCGGACAGCTCGGGTTCCGGGGCTCTGCCCGACGGCGGGCGCAGGGCCACGGGGGCTCGCGGGTCCCCGGCGTCGTGTCCAACCCACGGCGCTTCCCCGCCCGAGCCAGCGGCCAAACGCCGCGGGCCGGGGCGGCCGCACGCCCGCGCTGACAGGCGGCGGGCCGGGAGCGGAGGGAGGGCTCAGCGCACACGTGCGTGCCAGCGTCCCAAAACAAAGCTGGCCGGCCTCGCCGCGACACCGCCGGCCGCCTTTAACTCCTCCCCGCCCGGGCTCCAGCCTCGCAGATGTGTCCCCGGCCAAGAGGTCTAAACGCAGCTCCTTCGGGCAGCGCCGTGGAACGAGACACCCGAGCCCGGCGAGACGGCCCGGGAAGGGCAGCGATGCCTGGAGATTCCGCCACCTCCTGCATCAGCAAATCGCTGCCTTCCCGGTGCCAGCCGAGCTCATTCCCAGCCCGCCCGCTCCCTTCTTCTCCTCGGTCCCCCGCAGGCCCAGGACTCCGGGCAGGACCGGCCGGCCCGGGGTTTGCCCCGAGGCGAAGCCCCTTCCCTGTCTCGATCGCGCCCGGCCCCGGCGCCACGCTGACCGGAGACCTGGCTCAGAGCGGCCGGCCCCAGTGGCGAAGGGGCTTCCTGGGCACTCACCGAGAATCGGGACGGGCGTCCCGCAGGGACGGGACGTCCCGGGAGCCGCGGCCGCCGCCTCCTCACGGCCAAAGTGCGGCCGGCGCCGCCGGGCGCGCCGCGAACAGCTGACGGCAGTCCCGCCCCCGCGGCCGGCCCGCCCCCTCCCCGCAGCCAATGGGCGCGGAGGGGCGGGGTCGCCTGCGCGCGCGAGCGGCAGGGGAGGAGCCGCTCTGTCCTGATCCAGGTGGGAGCGGGGAGGCAGTCGGGGCTGGTCAGCCCTCAGCGGGATGGAGGCGTGGAGCCGCGATCAGACTGGTCTTACAGCCCGGCAGTCATCCCCAGCCAGGGACTGAGCCACCGGCACTCTGGGCTAGCTTTAAATCTGATGGGAGTGTGACTCCAGCTAGTTATCTTCCAACAAAACCCTGATTTCTTGGCTTTAGATGAGTTAGAAAGTTCTCCTTGACTTGTAAAGTCTGAATGCTGGGGTGTGAGGGTCGAGGAGACCTTCGCAGCACGTCGTACTCCTTTCTGTAGACGATACACCGCACTAAAGAATAAACTAATAAAGCAAAATTCTCAATAGTGCTTTCTTTGAAACCCCTCGATGAAAAGATCAGGAAAAAAACCCAAAACCAAACCCATCAAAAAGCCAAGCTTCCTGCTCCAAACAACAGCTCGGTGCTACTTATCCTTCCTCTCCCACTGATTCATCAGGTCCCCCTGAAATCAGTCGCGAAATCTCACCAAGCTGAGCGAGGCAAAACCCAGGTCCTCGCCGTGCAGCAGCGCTCTGTCAGGATGTTTTTAAAACCTACGTAACAAGATCTCTTGGAAGCGAGATTTTAAAACCCAGCTGGCAGCTGAGTAATGTTAATTGCTGTCAAGTCTGCCACACAGTTATTGAGGTTTGTAACTTAAACTCGGGGGAGGGGTTAGATTGGAAACCGATGACTGCCAAGGTGAGGCTAATTACTGTGGTTTCCTTGTATCACATTGTCTTGGCCAGGCTCTGTGAGCCTCTCCAGTTAAATGTTTCAGAGTCACTGTGATTTTGGGTGAGGTATTTACAGTTGCCATTAATAGACTGATAGGCTGGTAATGTTCATTCTCTCGAAGAACCCATTTCTTTATGGTTCTTGTCCAAGTGTTCATTTCTACTCTTTTATTTGCCAGAAGGCTTGAGCCTTTGCTTATTTACAAGTAGATCAGCTCATGTTTGATTTGTACCTCACCACCAAGTAAGAAAGCAAAAGGACTCGTTTCTTTCATTTTCAGTAAGGGCCAAGATCCTAAATTAATTAAGCCTCATTGTCCACTTTTGATCGTCAAGAGAGTTTAGAGTAGGAGGAGAGAAGAATGCTATGAAAAAAAAAAAAAAAAAAAAAAAAAAAAAAAAAAAAAAAAAAAAAAAAAAAAAAAAAAAAAAAAAAAAAAAAAAAAAAAAAAAAAAAAAAAAAAAGACGACAAAAACCAGTCTGTATCTTCAAGATACTCAAATTTTATCACAGTGATGGTCAGGCCCTGGCAAAATGCCAGCTGCTGGAGGGCTATTTCTAATTTGAATGTGTATCGCTATAAATAAAAAATGAACGTGCTATGATTCCAACCACATATGTCTTCCAGACTGAGTAATAACTGCCTGCTGGTTAGGCTCATTAACAGTAAGAACAGTACCTGATTGGCTTTGTTTTCATCTCATTGAGCCACACTTTGTATCCCCAGAGGCTGCATTTTAGGAACTCCTACTGTGTAGAAAATGTATGGAAACTGAAATCTATGTATATAATCAGGCTAGATGGTAAGAGGGCTCAGGAAGGATATTTGTGCCTTTCAGTGATTAAAAAAAAAGATATGGCAGCATTTCTAAGAGAGGGGACTCAGAGGGATTCCTTGAGGAAATTAGACATTGTTAAGAAATGGCTCCGAGTAAATAGACCGAAACCAAGACAGAGACAGTGAGTCTGAAATGGAAAATTGTGAACTGGGGGCAAATTATACCGCCAGCCCCACTGCACTCTGCTGAGAGAGTTTCTACAATAGTATGGAGACAAGCTTCTTACCTGGGAATGGGAGCCCCAGGGATGGCTACTCTGAGAGGTTTTTGCTCATTAGTGTACATGGTGGCATTTTGATTCAAGAGATTAATCTTAAATCACGTGCAGTAGTGTCCCTGTGACATCTGTGCATGGAAATACTGTGCCATCCTATAACCTTTCTGTCAGCCTGCTGTACTGCTCATAAAAATAGTGAACAAAATTGCTTCTTTTATTTAGTTAGCCCCCCCCTACATATCCCCTACATGTCTTCAGAATTATTTCTTCTTATTTTACTGACAAAACTCTATTGTCAGCACTGTGCTGTAATTGCAGAGTATGTTGTGATCTTAGGCATGGGTCTTGCAAACTGCTCTGCCTGGGTGGGCTCCAAAACCCACACAGGGCCAACTTGACTTTGGTGGGGGTAGTCTTGTCCAATGAGCTCAGTTTTCATTTCTATTTTTCTATTTTTGTAGCTCTCGTGGTTGGAATAGGGAATTTGAGAGTAGCCTCCTGGATCATAAAGCAAAGGATGAACATAAAACCATGCAGGGTTGATTCTATTTATTTTGTTATCTGAAAAACATTTGGTCAATGGGATGATTTTTCAGGGGGCTCAATCTGAGTTCCAAGGATTTGAAAACACTGTCTTCTGCCCTGACACATATCAGTGGACTTGATAACTGTGTTCTGCCACACTTTATTGTTGTGTGTGGCAGAAAAAAAAAAAAAAGTCTTGAATTGCAGGTTTTGACCATCCCTGTGCATTCGATACATGAGCCAACCTCCTGGAGAAGGCTGGCCTCTGTCCGGATGGAAGAGCTCACTGGGTTCAGCACCCAGGGCTGGTAGGAGTAAGTGCTGCACATTTCAATTGGTTGTTTGGGAGCAGGATCACTTACTGACTATATATAAAGTGGGAGGATATTGCTGTTGGAGTTGTTTTCTGAAGGAAGCAAATTTTAAGGCAGCTCACCAGGGTTACTCCTTTTTGCTCTTCTGAAACCAAAACTGAAACACTTTTTCTCCCCAGATAATGGCACTGCCTTGGGAAAATGCTTCATCCTCTCTTGGGGTGCTGTGCTTGACTCCTACTGCAAACACCGAAGACAAGAGTTTGCGTTTTCCATTCAGCCTTTCAACTGTCAGCCCTGCAAATCCATTCATGCCTTAAAGGCAATGGGGATGGGGGAAACACTGTCAGGCTTGAGGTGCCCACATTTCTGTATGTTACTGAACATGCTCATGTATGCTGGAGTCAGCCTGAATTTTTCCTCCCTGCTCTTTCTTTTCTTTCTTTTTCTTTTTCTTTTTCTTTTTCTTTTTCTTTTTCTTTTTCTTTTTCTTTTTCTTTTTCTTTTTCTTTTTCTTTTTCTTTTTCTTTTTCTTTTTCTTTTTCTTTTTCTTTTTCTTTTTCTTTTTCTTTTTCTTTTTCTCTTTCTCTTTCTCTTTCTCTTTCTCTTTCTCTTTCTCTTTCTCTTTCTCTTTCTCTTTCTCTTTCTCTTTCTCTTTCATTCTTTTTCTTTCTTTTTTCTTTCTCTTTCTTTCTTTCTCTCTCTCCCTCTCTCATTCTCTCTCCCTTCCTTCCTTTTTCTCTCTCTCCCTCTCCTTCTCTCTTTCATTTTTCTCCTCCTCTCATAAAAACTTGTTATACAGTTTCATTTTCCCTAAGCCATTTTCCAGTTCTGCAGAGACTTTGCATGGAACGGAATTTCTGCAGCCTGCTAATGATGTGGGGGAAATTCCCATGAAGATTTCTCTTCCCTTTTTTTTGAAAAAAGAGACCAAAAAAAGCATTTGCTCACATTTCTGGGTTTCTTACATGGCCCATCTTTTCCTCCTGATTCTATACCCTTTTACTCTCTCTTCTGCTTTTTCCCATCTCATTCTTATGAGTTTGCTTCTCCTTCATGATCTTTCCTTCTTCAATTCTGGACCAACTTCTGGAGCATAAAATTCCTCAGATGTCTGACTCCACTACTGAGACTTCATAAGGGCTCGATATTAAAGTAAAATCAATATCCAATCTTTACAGAGTTGCAGCCTTGTTCTGTTAAGGCCTGATCCACTCCTTGCCAAAGGCAAACTGACTTCAGAGGAGTAAGATCTGACTCTAAAATGCCAAGAACATTTTTACGCGTGATTGGTAATGAACACTGAATATACTCAGGACTCACCAAATATATTCAGTGCAGCACAGAATTAGGTCCTTATATCGCTGCAGGAAAAGTTATGGTGCTGTTAAATGTCGCAGCTGGCTAATGTGTAATCTTGGAGCTTGACACCACACTTCACTGCCTGCAAGGGTTCTCTTGCTGAGACTGTTTGGTTTTGGAGCTCAGTTATCACAGAACTGCTGAATGGATGAGGCTGGAAGGGCCTCTGGAGGTCATCTGGTCCAACCCCCCTGGTCAAATATGGCCACCTGCAGCTGGTGGTCCAGAACCATGTCCAGATGGCTTTTGAATATTTCCAAGGATGGAGACTCCATAACCTCTCTTAGCAACCTGTGCCAGTGTGAATAAGCTTGGGTGGAAAATTATGCTGAAATCTCAAGTTCAAAATATCTGATGCATTTTTATGTATCCCCAATTTTATTTTTTCCATTACTTTTTAAACCGATGACAATGATTGTTCCTATCTTGGGGCCCTTACACAGATTCTAAATCCTCATTTTTTTCATTATTCTCAGTGCTACTCACAGGACAGAAGTCCTTGCAAAATGTGGTCCTAACAGAGTGCATTGCATGTAGTCCCTGTAGAGTACAGAGGTATCACTGTTCTCACCTTACTGAAGAGGAACATTGCATTTGTGTGTCATGCGTTTTGGCAAGGAACTGCCAAAGACTGCACACTGGGCTACAAAGACCTTTGGCTGGAACCAGCAGAGAGTAATGCATTTATTTTGGTAAATGGTCAGTGTTACTTCTTGAGGTCTGATCTCAAAAACATTCATAATCAGATGGAGAATGGTGGAAAAGTAGAGCTTGACTATCCTGAATGTGAAGATATAGCAGAGAAACTTGACCTGAAGCACTGGCTGTTTATGTTTT